CAAAACACCGCATCCGACCCCTCCCTCACATTAAGAACTAAAAGACGAGAGACGTAGAAATGAATTCTGAGTAAAGTTGGTCGGACTGCAAGAAACCTACACCCCAGTGTCTACGGCGCCCTTGCTCACCAACATGATCAGAACTCTTTCGCCCGCGCCTTAAGCTCTATAATCTTGACAACAAAAAAAGGGGTCGAAACATAGCAACCATTTTTAAACATGCATAAAAAATAAAGTAATAAAACCACGTCCGACCTTAACAAAAGGATTAAGACTTGTTCAATTATTACAAAATCCACCACTCATCCTAATTTGACTAACTACTACTTTGGGGCGATGATGTCGTCCTCGATTGCTGCAAAGAGGTCCTACGCCAGGGGTGCCATGTCCGTCTTAGGGGCTTCGAGCTCGGCATCGGAGTACCCAGGCGCATAGCCTTGGCTCATCGCCTGTAGATCGATGTTCCCATAATGGGAACGAGCGATTACAAACGACTGGCGAACGTCGAAGCGAAGTGCCTCCCTCGACATGGCACGAGCCCGTTCCATGATCCCGACGGCACGAACCATGAGCGAGCTCATCTCCTATGCCGGGGTCAGCTCTAGGTCCTCGCAGACTAGCTGTATGGCGGTGCGTAGAGTCTCATGCTCATCATGCTCATTCTGGAGGGTGACCTTCAGCTCGCTGAGCTCTCGCCTGAGGTTGCGGCTCTTCTCAACCTTCATCTCGAGCCAGCCGTTGAGACCTGCCCAAGACACATGCCCCATGTCAAAAAGAGAGCCTACCACAGATTCTAGAAAAAACGACGAAGGAAGAATAAAGAATTACCATCCATGTCCGCCCGGAGCTGGCGCGCCTCGACCTCTAGGTTCTGGATCTGCTCCTGACGCTGGGTAGCCTCCGCAGCGAGATTGGCCATCACCGCCTCCGCCGCCTCCTTCAGATCTTTTCTGCTCGGAGCTCATCCTGCAAGGAGGCGACTCGCTGTTGGGCGCTGGCACGCTCCGTGCAGAGCCCCTCCGTGGCTTGGAGCAGCTCTGCCCGTTCCTTCCGCAGCCGTTCGGTCTCCTCGACGTCCATTTGCGCCCTATTGAGAACGGCCATCAGCTTCTCCCTAGCTTCAGTGGCGTCATCGCAAGCATTCACGTACCAGATCTAGAGATCGGCCAACTCCTGGCAAATAGGAGCGAGCTCAGCTATCTCTTGACGGGCGGCAGCGAGCTACGCCTCTAGCTCCTTGTGTAGCTGCTCCTCATCGGCGAGGCGATCCCAGACACCCCTCTTGCGTCGGAGGAATTCCGACTTCTCTTGGATGTGGTCTAGTAGGAGCTGCAAAAAGGATACAGGTTGGGAAACATGGAAAGGAAAACAGAGGTCGGAAGCATCATGTCATACCTGGCTGACGGGGGAGATGACATCGTGCATAGACACCAGCGCAGTCGTCAGGGCACTGATCATGACCCCCACCTCCGCCTGGTAGCCGCTCACCTCCCTCTTCTCCGCAGCATCGTCAAGGAAGAAGAGCGTCGCCCCGGGGTTCCGCGGGTCAGGCCACTGGAGCCTGCCGTCGTCCGCACGAACCAGCGACAAGGACATCTCGGCACCGACCCCAAATGATGTCTCGGGAGCCACCTCCCCCGGTTGTCCCATCGCGGGCGCGTCCGTTGGCGTGGCCGACGACTCTAGCCGCGTCGCCTCCACCTGCGGCGTCATGGTCGCCTCAGCACGTGCCACATCCTCCAGCGGCGCCTCGGCCGCCTCTAGCAGCACTGCCCGCGCTACTTCCTCCTGCGGCGCCTCGACCGCCTCCGGCAGCACCGTCCCCGCCTGCGGCATCTCAAACGCCTTCGGCCACGCTGCCTCCGCCTTCGGCGCCACCGCACCTGCCACGGGCGTCCCGGGCGCGACCGTTGACTGCGCCTCCCCGCCAGCCCCTGGCATGGCACGAGCCGGGTCCAAGCGCGCCTGCTTGGCGAGCGCCTTCTTCGGCGCCAACACCAGGTGGCCTCCGCGCTCCCCGACGCTGCAGCAAGCACGAAGGTTAGTTCGTAGCAAAGAGCTCGTTAAAGAGGGAAACGGGAATAGCATGTAAGCTTACACCGATGACACCGAGCGTCGACGTTTTTGGGTCGGTTCGCCCGATCCCACTGTGACACCTCGTCATGCCGTCACTTCGAGCCCTCCCCCTGGCCAGAGGTCTTAGATGAGGAGGAGCCACCGGTTCCCGCTGACCCCGGGCATGCCGAAGAAGGGTCAGACGGGACGGGGCAACTCGCCCCAACAGGGCGGAGCCGCCAGCCCCTACCAACCTCGAAAGCGCTGTAGGGGGTCGGGTGGGACAGAGCGGCCTGCCTCCGTCAGCTCTAGATGCACGTCCCCCTCCTGCTCTAGGCGGTGGAACACGAAGGGCCCCTCCTGCGACGGGGGCTCAACCTCATCCGCATGGGACAAGTCCTCCCACGAGATCTCCTCCTCCTCATCGTCCTCGTCCTCATCGTCCTTGTCCTCTGATGATGAGCCTTGCTGCCGCCTCCCACACTATAGCTTCGCCTGGTCCTTCTCCCTCCTCTTCTTCTCCTTGTCATCCTTTGCCTTCTTCCTCTTCTCGTCGGTAGCACGGTTCGCCGCCCTCACTGCCGCATGTTCCAGCAGCGGCACGATGGAGGACCAGATGCTCATGTCTGTCGATAGCTCGATGTTGTCCCACACCGACCACATCGCAGGGTGCCTCGGGATCAGGAACACAACGGACTCATTCGTCGCCTCCTTGACACGCTGCGCGACCTTGCTATGGGCAAGCGGCTCTATGGCGAGCATCGTTCCACGGAAGTCCATGCCAGGGACCATTGCGTGCAGCGAGAGGGTGCGCGCCATCAGCGGGACCACCCTCCGCACATGGTACGCGCCGATGACGCCGGCCCCGCAAAGACCGTGGCTCCTCAGGAACGCGACGGCTTGGAGGAGAGCGGGCAACCTCTTCTTCAACTTGTGGGCGGCCCCTAAATCCATGGCTCAGGCGCCTCCTCGATCACGCACCCGGAGAAGATTGGCAAGGGGGTGGCGGGATTGTTCTTCAGATAAAACCATTACGAGTGCCAACCCTTGTTGGATTTGGTGAGTTGGCACGACATGTACCCGGCCGACCACGAGCTCCGAAGATGGATGCTTGCGCACCCGATCATCATCGGGGTCTCCCTGCTCCTGTCTCTCCTTTTTGTTTTGTAGGGAGATGGAGAAGAAGTGCCTCCAGAGCTCGAAGTGGGGCTCGATCCCCAGGTACCCCTAGCACATCGCGCTGAAGGTCGCGATATGCTGGATGTTGTTGGGGTTGAGGTGCTGCAGCTCGATCCCGTAGTAGTGCCGCAGCCCTCGAAAGAACGAGTGTGGGGGCATCGCAAGCCCGTGCTCGTGGAAGTGCGCGATGGAGATGACGTAGCCATCCGGTGGCGCCGACAGCTCCTCGCGCTCGGGCACAATCCACTCCATCATGTCAGTCCACGGATGGAGAAGACCGCGCTTCACGAGGCCCTCCATGTGCGCGTGGGTGACGGTGGAACGGAACCACGACCCCATGGGTGACGACTGAGGGCTTGCGGAGGAGGAGCGAAGCAAGCGGATCTAGGGCGCCGACGGTGGAGGAGCAGAGGAAGCAGACCCAAGCGACGGCGGCTGGGAGAGGAGAGGGCAAGATTGCTTTTCTAGCGTACCGAAACAAGGAGGAGGAGGCCGATATATATTTAAGTCAGGATAAAGATCGAAGGCGAACCGTCCGCCTGGATACGCGTGCCCGCTGCGCCGCGTCACATCACCTCCCCTCCAAAAACCGCGCACACGATATCTCCGCCTACTCCCTCGAATCGCGCGCCGCACAACGGATCTGCCCGATGGAAACGCTGAGATCCGCTGCAGGTAAGAAGGGATACAGGGCTTAAACACGCTCCCATGGCCCACTTATGGCCCATGAGTTTGAAGGTCAGCCCACCGACGGGTTTACGACCGCTCTAGGGTGCCCTCAGAGCAAGGGGTGGAAAGGGATGGGCCCGCTAGCGGCCGAAACCCGAGCGCACAAGCGCTGAGGGCATCCTGGCCCACGTTCAAGTCCTGGTCAGAGTTCAATCCGTGGTTTTTTCTCAAAGAAAGGCAGCGAGCCCTTGGGACCGGTCGAACGAACCCAAGAACTATATGCCGCAGGAATCTGGAATTGGTCACCAGCTGGCCCACGTCGGGCCCCCATGAACGGGACGCCAGAGCTCCACTTGAACCGACCCGTCAGCAGCTCACCGAGCACCATGACTCGTCCACCGAGGAAAGCATGGCACGGCTCAACCCCTCTGTTTTGTTGAAAAAAATGCTTCAGGGAGAACGACCACAAGACGAACCGACCCCTTGACCGGCCCCCTGCTACACTCGGGGGCTCAAGGGCTTGGAATCGCAAAGAGACCCATCGCGTGGTCGCATACCGACGGCGGATCGGCCATTGCAACCTCACCGAAGCATCCCCTGAGTCACAGAGGACAAGCAAGAACTGTGGCGCTCCCCCACGCAAATAAAAACTACGAAGGAATATCTAACTCCTCCACAGGCTCGGGGCTACACTCCATCGGTGCGCCACAAGACACCTCGTGCAATCGAAGGATCCCCCAACCGATCCCTCTCGGATCGCTCGGGGGCTACTATCGGGTATCAATATTTGGGATACCCGGACAAGAGGAGTTAACGGACAAGATATGAAGGTCGAATGAGACTGATTAGTGTTAATGGATTTGCAGTGGCTACATAAAAGATTATAGGCAGAAGCTTATCTAAATCACTTGGTATTCTTAGTGATGATTTGGTTTTTATCAACACCAGCTCTCTTGCATTTTTCTTTTTTGGTTGACCAGTTTTCAGTTCTCAGCCTGCAGAAGATGCATGAAACACTCAGATGTTTTTTTGTCCCTTTGTACAAAAAGTCTGATTGATCATAAGTAAACACATGCCATTTTTGTAAGTCCAAACTTTTACTGGGGGACAGGGGAGGGGGGCTGCAGTGTAGCTTCATTTTCTAAAGCTGCAGCGAGTTCTTTCATTTTACCTTCCAATTGATCATCACTATCTTTTGTCTGCAAAGGTATTGTATAAAGTACTGATGGAAGCATCAAAGAAGTGATCCATAAAGGCTAAATATCAATCATTCATGATTAGAATTAATGAGAGCGCCAGAATATTTGGTGATGCAAATATCTGTAAAACATTCAGCTCGGTCTGTCTTAATTTACGGAGTTCACAATGAAGATACTTAGTTTATGCAAGAAAAGCTAAATTGATAAGGAAGCATGGAAAAATGGACGTAAGTCACATATAAATCTAAGTGTAGCAAATGCAATGTGTATTCTTCTCGTTTTTTTCCTTTTTTTTTTGGGCAATCATATAGCAGTAGATTATTTGAGGATAAGTGAATGGCATAAAGAAATTGAAGACAAAATCAGGTTGTCTATATGTCAACTTCGCTTTCTAGCAACAGCCTCTTGCGAACAATGGACTGCATGTTAGTCACTGTGTCTTTTATCTGCCAAGAAGACATATATTGCCTGTGATAACAGTTTGTAGTATGGTATGTGGAATGTGAATTATAAAGTGCACAGAGAAGACAGCTTAGTTTTTTTTCAAGCAATGTTGTAGTCGATTTTGATTCAGATGAAAAAACTGAGCCGCTCTAAGATGGAATTCAGAAGCATGATATATCCATCAATGAACTGCAATCAGAAGTCATATAGATACAAAGCCTTGTACGACAAAAGTGAGTGCCATAGATACAGCCACAACAGTCAGCATTAGAAATGCCCTGAATATTTTCCATCCTCAGGCTTTCCTGGTTTTGTAGTATCTACCAAAGTCTATTTACCATATACTAGTAGTAATACAAATTGAACTGCTAGGTTAATCATATCCAAAGAGAGGTTAACAAAAATCTTCACATACTTGCGGTTAGTTCTAGAATATTGTTCCCTTGTCTACCGACCAAGGCACTACTCAAAATCCCATGAGTTCTTTGCACATACGAAGCCATTACAAACCAGTACACCATTGAAATATGCGTTTGATCTGATGGCAGAAGGCATCCCCTACTTGTGTTCATATGGATACAGAAAGAAACTAGTGCAGTTGACCAAACAAAATCAAGAATTAGAGGACTAGTACCTGGGAGCGGGAAACAAAATCCATAATCCCCATTTGATGCAAATGGTAATCAACCACATGTAAGGAAACAACAGTGACAATAAAAGAAACTGAACAGCTAGCAAGATGATTACCTGGTACCGAAACAGCCTCCCATGGACGGGGTCCGGGCCCGGGTCGGGGACGGGGACGGCGGCTTGGCACCTGGCGCTCAGCTCTCGGTCCTCCATCTCCGGGTAGCAGCGTTCTTGGACCTCCTCGTTCGTGAGGTCGCCGAATTGGTTGAGGCCGTACACGTTTTGCCCGGCGGCGGCGGCGTTGAGCCGGACGACGACGCGGCGGTTGCCCTTGAACAACCTGTACCGGCATTCCTCCTCACCGACGTCTTTGTAGGTATTGCCGTGCTTGGCCTTCCACCCCACGAACATCCGGCGGGTCTCCTGCTCGTACGATTCCTCCCCCATCCGGACCCCGCGCCCGCGGTATATCTCCTCAATGGCGCTGGCGCTGGCGCTGAGACTGTTAAGGCCAGATGTGGTCACCCCAGCGGCCCTGGACCGGGCGACGCGGCGGCGGCTGTCCTTGAACACCGCGTACCGGCATTCCTCTTCGCCGGCGTATCTATAGGTCTTCCTGCACCTGGCCTTCCACTCCACGAACATCCAGCGGGTCTCCTGCTCGTACGTGTCCGCGGCCGGCAGCGACATCAGCAGCATCGGCAGCGACACCGCCGCCGCCGCCGCGAGAGCAACCGTGGAGACCCGCCCCATCCTGTCGCCGGCAACGACGACGACGAGGGTGGGTGGGCTGCGGGCCTCGACACTAAACGGGCCGGGCCTCAGACAGTAAACCGGCTGGGCTTTGCGCTTTGGTGCACCGGAAATTGTCCATTGCAAAAAGGCGGGGAAAAGCTATTGTGGAAGGTTGCAAAGTTATTGGATAATATAATTTAGTTTTGAAAGTTGATTTGCTAAAAAAATAGTTTTGAAACTTGAAATTTTTTCCTCTTGTTAGTATGGACATGGTTATATATGTTACTAGATAAATATCCGTGCGTTGCATCGGGTACCAAATTTTTACTCATATACTTACGGCGATGCACGTGGCTTGTGGCTTCGACAAATATATTAAGCAATCTACAAATCTAATTACATAGATAATATAAAAGCATGTGTCGGGTTCATAAACCCAGGGTCCCTCGGGGACCGGCTTCCATGCCAAGGCTCGACCCGAGAGTCTAAAAACAACAGGGCAAAGGGACGGTCCAGCAACCGACCGGAAGGCCTGGTCCAAGAAGAGCAACGCCCGCTCGTCAGCTACTTCGGCCCACCTATCCGACCGGAGCACTCGATTCGGGCTCCAGCCACCTCCGGACGGCCTCTCCGATCGGAAGGCCTGCCTCGAGCCCTACTTCCGACTCCAACCCCGCGTCTCTTCAACCGGGGTACGTAAGAGCCCTGCTCGCCGCTCTTCTCCGACCGGCGCAACCAAAGCCGACTAGGGCCATCCGACCAGGGACGCCCGCTCGGAAGGGACCAGGGATGAACGGAGAAAGCAGCACGTGAGTCAAACCACGGTACAGGGACCATACCCTGTACACCTGCGGGAACAGTGTTCCACAACCATCCTGACACAAACAGTATTGTAGGCGCCGACATTTATCCCTACAATATTGTAGGCGCCGTTGGACTCCCGTACGGCAAAAAGCCCCTCACATGTCTCTGGGCATCAATAGTGTTGTAGGCGACGGGATTCACCGTACCCGGTAAACGTGGTGAGACTCCTCACATGCCTCTAGGCATCCAGCAGTATTTTGTAGGTACCGACGTCAACCCTTCCTGAAGAAGACAACGCAACCTCCCACGTGCACCTAACATTCTACAGTGACATCAACAGTGTTGTGGGCGCCTACCATTATCCAATCCTCATCGGTATGGGCAACAAGGCTTAAAAGCATCCGTACCCTCTCCCTCTCACCTGTAAAGCCATCCCCTTCATCTATAAAAGGGGATGCACTCCCTCCAACAGGAGGAACGATTTCATTCAAGCTCAGTTCCTTTAGATTCATTAGTCCAATAGCTCACAACCACAGAACCACCAGGTTCGGACCTCAAGCACACGCTCGAACACTTAGCTCATAGCGGAGTTCTCGTCGCTCTCGACCCTTCCGACCGGAGCCGACCAGGCCTCTGGTACCCCCCATGTTTCTCCTTCTCGTTTGTAACCCCACTGCAGACTTTAAGCACCTGGGCTCAGAAACAAAGTCACCGACCGACCCAAGCTGGACGTAGGTGAAAGGTCCTAATGGCTAGAGGGGGTGAATAGTCTAATAAAATTTCTACAACAATACTTAACAAAAGGATTAGACAATTATGAGGCGATGTGAGTTTTGCGCTAGCCTACTCAAAATGCAAGCCACCTAACACAATTCTAGTTTAGGTAGAATCTATTCACACAATAGCTATGACACTACTCTATGTTAGTGTGCTCTCAAAGGCTAACTAAAGAGCCACACCAACCAACCAAGTAAGCTCTCACAACTAACTACACTAAAGAGCTTGACAACTAGTTTGCGGTAATGTAAAGAGAGTGATCAAGAAAATTATACCGCCGTGCAGATGAAGGAACTAATCAATCACAAGGATGAATAACAATGAAGACCAATCACCTCGAAATCAATGATGAACACAATGATTTTTTACCGAGGTTCACTTGCTTATCGGCAAGCTAGTACTCGTTGTGGCGATACACTCACTTAGAGGTTCACGCGCTAATTGGCTTCACACGCCAAACCCACAATAGGGTGCCGCACAACCATTGCCGGCAAGCTAGTCCTCGTTGTGGCGATACACTCACTTAGAGGTTCACGCGCTAATTGGCTTCACACGCCAAACCCACAATAGGGTGCCGTACAACCAACACAAGATGAGGATCACACAAGCCACGAGCAATTCACTAGAGTACCTTTTGGCTCTCCATCAGGAAAAGGTCAAGAACCCCTCACAATCACCACGATCGGAGCCAGAGACAATCACCCACCTCCGCTCGGCGATCCTTGCTGCTCCAAGCCGTCTAGGTGGTGGCAACCTCCAAGAGTAACAAGTGAATCCCGCAGCGAAACACGAACACCAAGTGCCTCTAGATGCAAACACTCAAGCAATGCACTTGGATTCTCTCCCAATCTCACAAAGATGATGAATCAATGATGGAGATCAGTGGGAGGGCTTTGGCTAAGCTCACAAGGTTGCTATGTCAATGCAAATGGCCAAGAGAGTGAGCTTGAGCCGGACATGGGGCTTAAATAGAAGCCCCCACGAAATAGAGTCGTTGTACCCCTTCACTGGGCACAACGCGGGGTGACCGGACGCTCCGGTCCGATCGACCGGACGCTAGCCCTCAGCGTCCGATCACGTGATTCATGCCACGTGTCCCCTGCTTCAAATACTGTTCGTCAGATTTCAACGGTCATCTGCAGACCGGACGCGTCAGTTAGAAAGTGACCAGACGTTGGACTTCAGCGTCCGGTCGTTTCCAGTAAGGTTCCAAACGCGGTTTTTTCCGACCGGACACGTCCGGTCATGCTTGACAGCACATAGCCAGCGTCCGGTCACACAACGTCTCCTCTGTACGCCCTACATCAACGTACGTCAGCATTGACCGGACGCACCCTGCCAGCGTCCGGTCGCTGAGCGACCCAGCGTCCGGTCATGAGACCGAAATGCACGCCCTCGGCTACCACTGACCGGACGTGCCGGTCCAACCGAGACCAGCGTCCGGTCACTTATAGAGACCTCTGTCTTTTCTGTCTAGGGCGCCGGTGGCACCGTCGGACTGTCCGCACTCTACGGACGAACACTCCGTCGGTGGAGTTTCTTACCCTTGCACCTAAACTTCACCACCCTTGATCAAATGTGCCAACCACCAAGTGTATCACCTTGTGCACATGTGTTAGCGTATTTTCACAAACATTTTCAAGGGTGTTAGCACTCCACTAGATCCTAAATGCATATGCAATGAGTTAGAGCATCTAGTGGCACTTTGATAACCGCATTCCGATACGAGTTTCACCCCTCTTAATAGTACGGCTATCAAACCTAAATGTGATCACACTCTCTAAGCGTCTTGATCACCAAAACAAAATGGCTCCTACAATTTATACCTTTGCCTTGAGCCTTTTGTTTTTCTCTTTCTTCTTTCCAAGTCCGAGCACTTGATCATCACCATGGCATCACCATCATCATGTTATGATCTTCATTTGCTTCACCACTTGGAGTGTGCTACCTATATCATGATCACTTGATAAACTAGGTTAGCACTTAGGGTTTCATCAATTCACCAAAACCAAACTAGAGATTTCAATCTCCCTCTTTTTGGTAATTGATGACAACCCTTATACAAAGATATGAATTAAAATTCAATTGAATCCATGTTGCTTGTCCAAGCATTTTTACCATTTGTAAAAGGATATGGACAAGTTTCATGAACCCCAAATGGTAGCAATTGCTCCCCCTACATATGTGCTAAGAGTTTGATTGAAGCTTGCACATATTCTTAGATAGGAAATATAGGAGACAATGTCTACCAAATGATGCTAAGGTATAAAAGATGGACCTTTAAAGTGTGATACCAATCGAAGTGCACCAATATACCATCCTTAGCATCATGTTTAGCTTGATACCACTTGGAAACAACACTTGGAAATGAAATCATTAGATACCCTATACATGCTAGTTTTTTATTTCATCATTCAAACCTACAACTAGCATACACCACACAAGCATGGATATTTAAATTTTACAACTTGTGCCACGCAAGCAAACATATGAAATGCACATTCAATTGCACCATACAAGTTCATGAGCTTGCTCCCCCTACTTGTGTGCTCAAAATATTAATTGATTACTTTCCTTTATCATATCTCTCTCCCTTCGTTGTCTTTTCACAATCTTAGTACACTAATATCACTAATATTTTGTTTCTCTCCCATGTACCAATTTCTTTGTTATTTCTCCCCCTATCACTTATATCTTTGTTTCTCTCTCCCTTTGTCATCAATGACCATAAAGGTTTAAAAGGTGGATAGGTTGAGATTATCAATGTCAATCAATGGGGTGAGGATTATATTCCCAAATTTGGTTTAAACTAGAATATTTGCCAAAGATATTTAACTTGGTTTGATCCAAGGACAAGCTTCTTCACACCTCCTAATAAGGGTTATCTTGTACCATGTTGAGTTAAACACTTAGAGCTCATTTTCTAGATTAAACACTAGGTTTACAAGCCCACAAACATGTCATATGCTATCACTAGATCAAGTCAAGCATAGAAGCAATAGTGATACCATATAAACATCAAATTCATTTGATTTTCATGAATGAGCCTAATAAAATGGAGGAATGTCTAGATGCACTAATTATGTCCTTAGCAAGGATGTATGCCATGCCAATCATCTTTTACCTTAGATTGCTCGAAGAAGAGGTATGTCATATAAGTGGGGGGGTGCATCAACACATATTTGAGAAATCCAATATGTTCAACTCATTCCTTAGCTTGCAAAACCTTTTCTCATCCAATGGCTTGGTGAATATATCGGCAAGTTGATCTTCGGTGCCTATACTCTCAATGCAAATGTCCCCTTTTTGTTGGTGATCTCTTATGAAATAATGGCGGACATCAATGTGCTTTGTTCTTGTATGTTGCACCGGATTGTTGGTTAGCTTGATTGCACTCTCATTGTCACATAGCAATGGCACTTTCTTGAATTTGATTC